AACACTATTTACATTTAAAACTGATTTTTGGGACACCTGGGTGGCTCAGTTGGTTAAGCATCTTTCTTGGGCTCACGTCATGATCCCAGGGTTCTGGGAAATCCTTGCTCAGCAGGGAGCCTCCTTCTCCCTCTGACTGCGGCTCTGCTCCCCCTGCTTGTGCTCTCTCTGACAAATAAATAAAACATAAAAAAAAAAAACTGATTTTTGTTAGACTATTCCAAATTATAAACTCATTGCCCAGAGTTGAATTTACAAATAATTCATTAAACATGATGCTGTCATTGTCTCCATTCAAACTTTTGGTGGTAAGCCACTATGGATTAACAGTATGGATGGCAGTTCCTCAAAAAAATTAAAAATAGAAATACCATATGATCCAATAATTCAACCTCTGGCTATATACCTAAAAGAATTAAAAGCAGGGATTCAAACAAATAATTGTACACCCATGTTCATAACAGCATTAATGATTCACAATATTCAAAACATGGAAGAAAGTGTCCATTGACAGATGAATGGGTAAACAAAATGTGGTTCAGCAGTGCCCCATTATCTGCAAGTTATGTCCCAAAGCCCCCAACAGATGCATGAAACCAAGGACAGTACTGAACCCTATGTATGTTATGTTTTTTCCTATACACCTATAATAAAATTTAATTTATAAATCATCATAGTAAGAGATTAACAATAACTATAATAAAACAGAATAATTTTAACAATACTGTATATTGTAACAAAAGTTATATGAATGTGCTCTCTCAAAACCTCTTATTGTACTGTACTCACTCTTCTTTGGTGATGTGAGATGATAAAATGCCTACATGTTGAGATAAAGTGAGGTGGATGACCTAGGCACTGTGATGTAGCACTAGGCTACTACTGACCTTCTGATCATACATCAGGAAGCTCATCTACCTTTAGACCACAGTTGACCAAGGGTAACTGAAACCATGGAAAGCAAAACCAAAGATAATGGGGGATTACTGTATACACATACTGTTTAATAGTGTAATAGTATTCAGCCTTCTAGGCGAGATCGGGCGCATTCAGGATGGTATGGCCATAGACGGTATTTAGCCTTTTAAAAAGGAAGGGAATTCTGACACATACTACAACACGGATGAACGTTGGAGACATCATATTAAGTAAAAAAGGCCAGTCGCAAAAGGATAAATACTGCATGATTACCCTTATATAAGGTACCTAGAATATTCACATTCATAGACAGAAAATAGAATGGTGGTTGCCAGGGACTGGAGAACAGGGAAAAATGGGAAGTTACTGTTTAATGGTTAAAGTTACAGTTTTGCAAGATAAAAAGAGTTCTGGAGATAGACGGTGGGTGGTGATGGTTTCACAACAATGTGAATGTACTTGATGCCACTGAACTGGACACTTAAAAATGGCAAATAAAGTTAAGACGGCAAATTTTATGTTATATGTATTTCACCACAATTTTTTAAAAATTTTAATTGAGGGATGCGTGGGTGGCTCAGTCAGTTTAACCGTCTGCCTTCGGCTCAGGTCATGGTCCTGGGATCCAGCCCCACCTCAGACTCTGCTCAGGAGGGGAGTCTGCTTCTCCCTGTCCCTCTGCCCCTACCCCCCCCCCCGGTCATGCGTGCTCACTCTCTCTCTCACTCACTCTCAAATAAAATCTTTAAAAAAATTTTTTTTAATTCAAAGCTGTTCTTATTTCGGGGGGAGGAAGCTTTTAGAGGACAATTTGTAATACACTTCCTTTGTAATGAGTTCACTGATCTACAAAATTCCAAACCTGTCTCATTAAGTCTGAGGTGCAATCTTCCATCCACTACTTATCCAGTTATAAGAAACCAGGTAATTTATTTTTAAAATTACGATTGTTAACCACTCCTTCACTGATCAGTTTCAACAGAAGTCCTTTCTCCAATGAGTTGAAATAGTTAATATACAAAAATCTTTCCCAAAAGTTTTTCCAGGGCTCCTGGGTGGCTCAGTGAGTTGAGCATGGAACTGTATTTCAGCTCAGGTCATGATATCAAGGTGGCCAGATTAAGCCCCAGCTCCAGTCCACTCGGTGCTCAGCAGGGAGTCGGCTTCTCTCCCTCAGCCCCTCCCCCGCCACCTGAGCACACAAGAGCACTCCCCCAGGCTCTCTATCAAATAAATAAATAAATCTTAAAAAAAAAAGTTTTTCCATATTTAGGCACTGTATTTATAAGAACCTATTACCTAACAATAATCAAAATCTGAAACTTATTTTTTAAAATCTGATATTTAAAAATCATGTCCCTTTCTCAAAAAAGGAGCGAGAGGGGGGCAAACCATGAAGTGGACACTGAACTATAGAGAACCAGACTGATGACTGCCGGGAGGAGGTAGATGGGGGGGATGGGTTAAATGGGTAATGGGGATTAAGGAGTGCACTTGTGATGAGTACTGAGCACTGCACGGAAGTGCTGAATCACTATATTGTACACCTGAAACTAATATGACACTGTATGTTAAGTAATTAGAATTTTTTATAAAAACTTTAAAAAAAATCATGTGCCCTTCTACAAAGGCAGCACTGAACTCTCAAAATTATTAATTTCACAGTCATGTGTTCACTTTTGGGGAGAAACTGATTTACACAGTCACAGGCGAAACCAGCATCATCCTAGTATCTACATTACAAGACTTGAACTTCAATGTTTAAAATTACCTAGTTTCTGATAAGGGATAAATGCTAATTTTTAAAAGTTAATCCTATAAAAAGTTTACATAATATTAAAAAATAGGAAGAATAACTGACTTTAAAAAGTAAATCCACAAGAGCAAACTGATCTGGAATCATTTGTGAGAGGAATACAAGGTTCCTAAAAACACAAAAGCTAATGTACTTAGTATGTGTATACTTTCTATTCTGTATGTGTATTATTCTGTATGTATATTCTTTTTATTCATAAATATTTTATTTATGTGTACTTTTTATTCTACCAATAACGTTCTTACCTACTTGACAATATGAAATAAACTTTCACCATCTGGCAAACACTGAGAATGCCATAGCTTTTTCCCATTCTGTAAAGAACTGTTCACATCAGTGCCACTGGTTCGAAGAGAAAAACAGAATGTATTAATGTGATCAAAATAAAATCCCAAATGCTTGTCAGAAAATCTTACTTTGTCTCTGAGTACAAGAATCCTAAATTTCCTGTCCTTGGCCAACATAAAGTTCACAGTAAACATAATAACTGTCACAAATAAGAAAACAAGCAGCTACAAGTTGTTAGAGTAAGTAAAAAAAATTGGTGAAATCAAAACAAAGTTATAATTACCTTAAAGCTTTTAGTGAGGTAAACTATGACATTGTTGTCTAAAGACACTTCCATAAAGCAGTTTTATAACAGGATAAAATACTCCTGGAAATAGAGTCCGTTTTCATATGACCATATTTCACATTAGATAAAAGACTGGAGAATGAAAAAAAGAAAGAGTAAGAGACAGGCAAAAAAAAAAAAAATCTCAGGCCAGTCCTAATCCTACAAAACACCAAAATCTTGCAGTCAGCTTTTATTTTCACAACACTTCTTTCTGAGTTTGGAAGTTATAGTATAATCAAATGCAGATATATCCACATTCCCAATAAATCAGATACCCTTACTGGGTAAGATAAAGAGCAAACACTGGAAATGACCATCACAATATTAAGTTATGAAATAAGGATAATCAGAGAAGAGAAGCCAAACAAAATCTCAGTAAGAAAAACTAACACCTCTATGCTAGTGTTAGACCATGTGCAATGATGACTCTGTTACAGAGAGAAAAGTCTGCCTATACGTATGTAACAGTATCTTCTAAGTTAATGCCAAAATGAATGGTTAAAAATATCTCACTACAGGGCGCCTAGGTGGCTCAGTCGTTAAGCGTCTGCCTTCGGCTCAGGTCAGAATCCCAGGGTCCTGGGATCGAGCCCTGTATTGGGCTCTCTGCTCAGTGGGAAGCCTGCTTCTCCCTCTCCACTCCCCCTGCTTGTGTTCCCTCTCTGTGTCTCTCTCTGTCAAACAAATAAATAAAATCTTAAAAAAAAAAATCTCACTACAATATCTTCTTCAAACATCAAAAGGCAAAGATGGTGTGCACAGGGTATTTAGTTCTAACTCCAAGTTTTTCATGAATGGTGTGCAACTCTACTTTCAAAGGGCCTCCTTAAGATACTCATATATTAGTGTGACTACAGTTGGGCTAAGTAAAGGAATAACCTTTGCTTATCCTTTAAATTATTGCTGGAGTTAGGACACACACCACGCAATTCAAATCTGTAGGGGAAGGGAATTCGCAAATAGTAATTTATTAAGCTTATGAATTCACCGAGGATACTTTGATATATACAGTCTATTTGCCTCCTCCTTACCTTCACACACTCCAAAGATTCCAATAAGGCAAAGTCTCGAATGTTTATTTCTTCTTGAAAAAGACCATACCCTCACCACTACCTTCACCACCGCCTCCTCCTCCTCATTCTTTTTTACTCACTCCTTAATACACCACACCCACAACACCACACTCTCCATACCCACACTCCATACAGCACTCTCCCAAGTAACAACCCAAAACTCCCAAAAAGCCCAAACTTAAAAGCCCCGCTTAATATCCCCAAATTCTACCCATTCTCCACATAATACAGGAAACACTACCCAGTCCACACACATAACAGTAAACCAAGTATCATAACACCACCTCACCCTGCAAACCCGTACATAACAAATTCTACACACACCCAACCCAGCATATGAATTGCACGTTCCCGGATGGCTCAACACACACACATACACGCACGCCACGTACCGTATAAAAGCCCAAACAGACACACGCGCGCGCGCGCGCGCGCGTACCCGCGCTCCACGTACCGTATAAAAGCCCAAACCACACACCACCGCAATGCTCTAACAAACCCTGAGAAGAAGCAACCCTTCTGGCACCGGGAACCCACGAGGTTGGAGGTGGAAGAGGTACAAGGCCATATACTTCACCTGAAAATCCGCCAGGATCATCTCCCGGTCCATGTTGGACGCCATGGCGGCCGCCGAGTTCCGCGGCTCCGGGAGCGAAGCGCGCACCTGGGAGGGAAACCGCGCCTCCTGCGGCCGTCGCCGCCGCCGCCGCCGCCGCCGGGCGCCGAGGGGCTGGCGGGCGAGCCGGCGGGCGGACCGGCGGGCCGGCGGGCGGGGCAGCGCGGGAGGCTAGGCGCTCATGCACTCGGTAACCTTCAGGCGCCCGGGCCGCCCGCCTGAGCCCCGCGGATCCCGCGCCGCAGCCGCCCTGACGGGGAGGTTGGTCTGGATGGGGGTCCGGTCTTGCTGTTGCTGGCCAGGATGAGGGCAGGTTACGACAGCGCGCAACCGGCTCCCTTCAGCAGCGGCGAGACCGGCGGGGGCGGGGAAACCAGGCGAACGAGCAGGCGGGCGAACCCCACGGCCGCCTCCGCCTCCTCCGCTTCCTCCCTGGCCGCCGCCTCCGCCCCTGGTTGGCCGGCGCCAAAGCTGTCGCACATTTTGCCTGTCATCGAGGTCGCAAAGCGCTGCTTTGCGGCTGCCACGTGACTGCCTTCCTGTCAAGCGCTGGGCGCGCGACTACCGGGCGGGGATCCGCGCGCCGCCGGCAGGGACCCCCCCCCCCCCCACAACTAGCAACTGCGGGAGCTAGTAGTCCCGCAACAGGTTATTCCGGTTTGGAATTAAGCAAAGGCCTCAGGGTACAGCCTCCTTCTGGCTGGGGCGGGGATCAGCTTCTAAACCTTACGAAGTTACATAGTCACATAAGTACGCCTCAAGCCCCACAAACCAATTCAACACTCACAACCCGTTTTACAAACAGCATTTCATAAATGTACATTTCCTCTAACAAAGTTTCACCAAAATACAACTTCATATACAGTCTTTTAGGCTTAACCTCACTACCAAAACCTGCTTGCACACTGTCACCCTCAATCCCAAGTCCCCTGTCTCATGCATCCTTAAACTCTCGATAACACAGAGATAACCAGGCTCCCAAGATCGACGTGGGGGAACACGGAAGCTGAGAAAAGTGAGACTATCGATCCCAAGAAAAAGATGAGCATTTTTTGTTATGACAAAAATTTTCTATTCCTGCAGCATAGCATTTATTTTTTAGACCTAAGGCAACATCTTACAAATGGGGAAAACTTGAGTCCAGCTTTGAATATAGTCAATTTAAAATACTTCCATAAATGAAGAAATAATATTAAAATACCAATTACTAAAAGTTTCAATTTATGGTCAGAAATTGAACGGCTTTGAGACAAGAATAGTCAAAGACTATGTAATGAAGTGTGGCAATTTATAACTGTCATCCTCACTGGAGGAAAAGTGACGGTGGGATATATTTAACTTTGACTTGGGAAAATATCATTGTCTGGACTGTAATAGAGCATTTACTTGCCTTGGAAAGTACATTAAGCCCTGAAAGTGTGAAGTAAGATTGCTGATTTTGTGCTGTAAAGTAGGTGCTAGGGAAATCACCATATAAACCAAGGCCTAGATCTGTGTATTCCCTGAAGAAGAGCACTCTGGTGTTGTAAAGATCTAGGTTCATCCTGTGTTTTCTTAAATGAAAATAGTCTGACCTACAACTCTCATGCAATAATCTGTATTTAGACCAGAATTAGCTAGATAAGGAATAGAACTCTCCATAGTCACATGAATTGAATGTCTTTTTTAATTGCCATCCCATAGGAATTCCAAAATATAGCACAAATGTGAATCATGAGGTGAAACACAGTACCAGCAATTTAAGTGTGGTAATTCAGTTGCCCCATTCGTATATGTCATTCTCAGAACAAGGTGGGTGAATAATTGTCTCTAGTTACATGGCCAGGATTAATGCAGCCCTGAAAAGTTGAGGGTTTTCTCTGTGATGACATGTGTATACTGCAGAACCCATTCAAATCTAGTGCTGGTCCCTTTCCCCCTTCCTTCTCTCCATCTGGAAATTAAAATAATGTGGTAATGTGCAAAGATGGGAAGCATACCCTACACATTCAGGTATATAGGTTCCAGTACTGCTTTTCCAACTAATTAGCTAGGGGAACTTGGATGGGTCACTTGGTATCTCTGACTTCATCTTCTGATATGACTGTTTCAGGTGTTAAAAAAACAAATATGAAAATGCGTGGAAAATAAAATATTTTTACAAAACAAGCATAGAAATTTCATGGTCAGCATTACTAGGTTTCAGTTCTAATTCTGCCCCTTGACAAAAAAAATTCTGAGTCTCAATTTCTTTATCTCTAAAATAGGGCTTATAAAACTTATCTCAGAGTAATTGTGAACATTGAGTGATATAATGCTTGTGAAAACTCTTCAGAAACCTTAAAGCTCTCCAAACATATTAGTTACTACTACTCTGTATACCAACTCCTAAATGCTTTTCTCAAGGCTACTGCTTTCATAAAACAAGCAAACAAGGATTCTTCTCCTTTCTAATCACTGCTTTTACTGTCTTTACAACGCAATTTAATGCTGTGGGGAATTCTGTAATTTTTTTCTCTCTAACAGTTTCATCTATTCATGTTTTAATCTCTCCCCAAAGGTTGAAAGTTCCTTGAGATTATAAGCCATTTCATTCAGTATGTTTTTATATTCACCATAGTTCATATATAGCACAGTATTGGGTATATAATAACAACCAATATTTTTGAGTTTATTAACTTTTATTGGATGTCTAGTATGTACAGGTATTTTACATACCTTATCTCATTCTTACAGTGATTTTACAGAATAAAAAACTGCTCTGAGAGGTTAAGGATTTGTCCAAAGTCATGCTACAAAGCGACAGACCTAGTATTCAAGGCTAGGTCAAAACCAGTGCTCTTTCCACTTAACCTGTTGCATCCCTGCAATTCACCCTCCATGTTGCAAAGTTTGTACATTTCCTGAAGAGACTGATTCTTCCCTATGACCTAGCTATTCATGGTTGGGTACCCAGCATCCAAAGTGATTGTCCACTGCAGAGAATGAAATGAAAGAAAAATAAATATTGAATTAAAAAATAGTTGACTTTTCATTTCCCCAGAATTTTCTTAGAAACAATTTCATTTCACTGTCACAAACTGAGAATAAAAATGTATAGAGTTTCTCTGTACATGAGCATGAGCAAAGGAAAATAATTTTAATTCATTCTCGTAGTTAATTTACTATATTATGGAGCAGCCTAATTCAAAAATAGATCTTTCTCTAGAATCTTCATGTTCTTTGATCGTACCATTACTGTTTGAAAAAGAACTTTTATTTCATCTTTCTTTCAAATATATGTGATAAAGTTATTTTGCTGAATTTTCATTTGACATGATTTTAGATTTATATTTATTTGTTTTTTATCTAGCTTCTTCTAATGTTACCATCTTACATAACCATGGTACAGCTATCAAAACTAAGACATTAACATTGGCATAATACTATTAATCAAATTCTAGAGACTCTATTTGCATTTTTAAAATTTATTTTAGAGAGACAGGGTGGGGGGTGGCAGAGGGAGAAGAGAATCTCAAGCAGACTCCATGCTAAGCATGGAGTCTGATGCAGGGCACGATTCCAGGACCCTGAGATCATGACCTGAGCCAAAACCAAGAGCTGGATGCTTAATGGACTACACCACCCAGGTGCCCTGACTCTATTTGCATTTTTACATCAATGTCTTTTTTCTGTTTCAGGGTCCAATCCAGAATACCACAGTATATATAGTTGTCATGTTTCCTTAGCCTCTTCCAATCTGTGACAGTTTTTTTATCTTGACTTTTGAAGCGTAGTGGTCAGGAACTTTATAGACCATCCCTCAATTTGGGTTTGTTTAAGTTTTGTCAGAATTATACTGTTTATGGATTTGGGAGGAAGAATACCACAGAAGTGATGAGCCGTCATCACATATTACCAGGGCACATGATATCAACATAACTTATGGTGGTGTTAACCTTAATCCTTTGGTTAAGTTAATTAAGCTTTTTAACACTACTCACTTCTAATATAATTCATGAGAAGATTAATGCTACTACAGAATTAGATCCACACTTGAGTAATCAAAAATATATTTCATCTAATGATTTAATTTCTTTAGGAGTCTAGTGTCTGATCCTGGACTCTTAACTAATGGGAAAGGCATAAGATTTGGGGTCCCAAGATCTGAGTCCAAATCCTATATCCACTACTTACTGGCTTTAAGTCATAATCTCTGCAAGCCTTAATTCCTTCAGCTAAAAAATAGAGATAATTACCATATTTAACTTGGAGTTGTGAACATTAAATAATGTGTGCATCATATCATCAGATGTTATAATTATGAAACAATATACAAATGTTAGTTGTTGCTATTATATTTAAGCTTTTGAGTTGCTTACTGAGCATTTATTTACTTACTTTACAAAATGACTTTCATAAGTGGTGGGACTACCCATATAAAAAAACCTGAAATTCAGAAATAAAATGTCTAAGTCACAATTATGAAATGGTAAAAAGGTCCCTGAGGTCTGTTTTCCACCTCTGTTGGATCTATAAGTACAACAAGAAGGAAGACTTTGATACTAGGTAAAGAAATTATAGATACCACATACACATTTCCATAAGTTAATCACTGAGGAACTGCATAATTGAGTCAATGAGGAAAAGCACAAAATAATCTGATAAATTATATTTCTATAAGCACTTAAAAATGACTATGAACTGCTGGGGGAAAAAGATTTCTATAACTGTTAGTATTTAATATAAAGCCTCTTTTTTGGTGTTTGAAAGACATGTCATTATTATGCTAAAAGAGAAACCACTACTTTCAATATAATAGATGCCTAACTGTGGATCTTTCTCATATATCATATTAGAATGTAAACTTATTAAAGGCAGAGATACTCACCTTTGAATATACTTCAGTGAACTAATAATAAATATTAGATTTTCATTGGAGGTACTTTATAGTGGTTACTTATGCTCTCTGAACTAAGACTGGAATCTCTGTGCTGCCAGTTGTGGTTTATACAGTAAGCAGACTAAGCACATGCTTTAGAGCACCAGCAAAGCCAGAATAAAAAACCAAAAAGCCTTCCTTAAAGAATTTAAATTTAATATTTCAGCAAAAGCACTGAAGTAGTCATCATGGGGAAAATCACAATTTTTTTGGACTTCTTTACTCTTATTTTTTGGCTTTGTTTTTCTTTACATATGAGGTGGGGTGATGGGCCATCAAAATCTTTTCAGTTAGTTTAGGACCTCCAAAAATCTTAATCTAGCTCTGTATGCATCTTAAATTACCCTAATTTTATTTACTCAGTTATTCAGCCAAAATATTTCACGAAAATTTTAACACATATGTATTTATACATAATGAGCATAATTTAAGATTCTTCCCAATTACAGTATCTTCTCTTAGCAAGAAACCATAATAAATGCCAGAAAGCAACTCTTCATAAATTTGAAATCTCTAAATACGTGT